AGGTTCTCAAGAAGCCCGAGATCACCGGCCTTACTGCGGTCTCCAACAATGCCGGCACCGACACTTCCGGCCTTGGCCAGCTGCTCAAGACCAAGCAGATCAAGAAGATGGTTGCCAGCTACATTGGCGAGAACAAGACCTTTGAGAAGATGTACCTTACCGGTGAGGTCGAGCTCGAGCTCACCCCTCAGGGCACCCTCGCCGAGCGCTGCGCTGCTGGCGGCAAGGGCATTCCCGCCTTCTACACCCCCGCCGCCTTCGGCACTGTCGTTCAGACCGGTGAACTCCCTCTCAGGAACAAGGCCGATGGCTCCCCCGACCAATTTTCCTACCCCAAGGACGTCAAGGTCTTCAACGGAAAGTCCTACCTCCTCGAGGAGAGCATTGCCGGTGACTACGCTTTTGTCAAGGCCTACAAGGCTGACAAGCTCGGAAACTGCCAATTCCGTCTCGCCGCCAACAACTTCAACGGCGCCATGGGTCGCAACGCCAAGATGACCATTGTCGAGGCTGAGCACATTGTTGAGCCTGGTGAGATCTCCCCTGAGGCCGTCCACCTGCCCGGTATCTATGTCAAACGAGTCATCCAGAGCACCACCGAGAAGAACATTGAGAAGTACACCTTCGCCAAGGATGAGAACGACCCCGATGCCAAGAAGGCGCTCGGCAGCGGCGACACTGCCGCCAAGCGTGAGCTCATTGTCAGACGTGCCGCCAAGGAGTTCAAGAACGGCATGTACGCCAACCTCGGCATCGGCATGCCGATGCTCGCTCCGGGCTTCGTTGGCCCCGAGGTTGAGGTCCAGCTCCAGTCCGAGAACGGCATTTTGGGTCTGGGACCCTATCCCAAGAAGGGCGAGGAAGATGCCGACCTCATCAACGCGGGCAAGGAGACGGTCACGCTCAAGCCCGGTGCCGCCGTCTTTGGCAGCGAGGAGAGCTTCGGCATGATCCGCAGTGGCCGCATCAACCTTACTATCCTGGGTGCCATGCAGGTCAGCTCCACCGGTGACCTTGCGAACTGGATGTTGCCTGGTAAGGTCAAGGGTTTCGGCGGTGCCATGGATCTTGTCAGCAACCCCAGCGCCACCCAGGTCGTTGTCACCATGGAGCACACGGACAAGAAGGGCAACCCCAAGATTGTTAAGCAGTGCGCTTTCCCTCTGACCGGCCGTGCTTGCGTGTCAAGAATCATCACTGAAATGGTAAGTCGACAATGCGCTGTTCAAGATTTTGCAACGTAGCTAACACGCGGGTGACAGGGTGTCTTCGACGTCGACTTCGCTCACGGCCTGACCCTGATTGAGATCGCGGACGGTGTGACGGTGGAGGAAATCAAGAGCAAGACCGAGGCGCCATTTACCGTTGCTGAGGATCTGAAGCCCATGTTGTAAGGGCCTGTACAGAAGATTTTGGATACTGAGCGCAAGGATGGATATACCTGCTGGGGAGGGTTCATTATTGTCATCATCTAGAATGCGGCGTCAACTTTGGGGATCAAAATGAAGCCATGAATTTTACGAATGAAATTATTTCTCGAGACACACGTCTGCTGTGATTTCTTAACTGTTTCATGCCAGCGACCGATAACGCCACGGTATCATATAAGGTAGGCCTTGGCCCGTACAATGTTTTGGATGCTCCTCACAGCACCAAGATGCCATGTTTGCCACTCCTCTCAAGAACCTAAAAAGGACTGTAAAATGTCGTCCAGACGCCTTCTTTTCTTGCGGTTCGGGTTCAACCCTGTCTCGACGTTACCAAGTTGTACCGAGGGCTTCATGAGTTCTGTCGCATTCCGCACAGAATCCTGGTTCTTGCTAGACGCCGAATTCCTGAAGAACGTGTATCTCCTCGTGGAGAATAATCCTCTTCGCACGTATGACACGGCGGGTGTGATACCTGGCCTGCCGCCAAGGTGGCCCAATTGTAAGCAAGCCAGGGGCTTGGAGGGGAGAACCAGCTTCTCAGAAACGACGCTCATGTCCGACGACAGGCCAACTCGCTTCAAGTCGCTGTCCTTGATCAACTGGCCAATAAAGGAATACAACCAAAAAGCCCAGGTTTCGAATGGAAATCCCTTACAAGTTTGTGCTTCATAGCCTGGCACGTCGACGTACATGGACAGGTTGCTCTTCGCAGAGTCTCCCAAGTGATCGAGAAACGCCGGAGCCTCTTGCGCATGAATCAATTTGATGGGCTGGCTGCTGGATAGACAAAAGTTCATTAGCCCTTCGTTTATGTTGCGAGCTAGGCCTTGCAGCTGTCGTGGTTTGCTCTCCTCAACGGAGTCGAAAAGCAACAGATACCACAGGAGGGTATCATTCGGGCCATGCTCAGGCTCTTCCATTTGCCAGCCTTCTTCAACGGCAGTTTCAGCGGCTCCGGCCCAGTCACTCCTCGCGGCATTGACGTCGTAGAGGACGAGCGATGGAAATTTGGACACGTATTTGAGCGACTGCGTAGTCGTCGACTCATCACTCCAGAGCCTCAAGATCCTCAGGAGTGGAAAGGGGTCATTCATCTCAGTCCAGCCCCTGATGAGCCGGTCGTCGACGTTTGGGAACACCATGCGAAGTTCATCGGCTGGCTGAATGATCTCGAGAATGCCAAGATTTTTCATATTCGCGAGAAGTAACAGCTCATTTTCGGCAAAGGAGCAGTTGCCCGCAATGACCAGATGGGAGACGAAGTCAAACGCGGTAGACTCGAGCGGTCTGAGGTAGTGACGCAGGTTCTCAGTTGGTTGACAAATGTGCTGGCGGTAGCGATAGAGAGCCAACGTCTTTTCATCGTCTTCGGCCAGGAGGGACTTGGAGAAAATCTTCCATGCCTGGAAGCATACGCCCCTGAAGATCAGTGTTAGATATAGTTAGGTATCACTGCCGCATGCGCAGAGGCAGAACGAACCTGTTTTCCAGCAGGCGCCATATCCTCCACAGGTACCTCTTTGGCAGATCATCGCGGGCAAGATGCTGCTCCGTCACGTCGCCAATGTTTTCCGCGACCAAATGCATAGCCATATCGGCCAACGCCCTGGGACCATTTCTGCCCTGTCCGCTGCGTCCCTTGCGAGGTGGACGACCAGTTCGCCTGGACCAGTCACGACCATTTTGGTAGGCGTCCGGAGGGCGCGGAGCCGTCACTTCCTTGAAGACCTGTCCTGTTGTTTGGTCAAACATCGTGCTGGTCTTCTTGCGAGGATGCGGGTTCGAGCAAGTACATAGTATAGTCACGTAGTGGACTTCGTTCATACGAGCGCCAGAGATCCCACGTTTGAGATGAGATGACAGTTGCGAGTCGGACATCTCTAGATCCCGAAAGGCACTGTGCGCTTGCACTGTGCGGCAAAAATTCTACACCTTGGCCCAGTCACCTGGAGGAACAGCGGGTTGACGCAACGGCGTGCAAATTTTGACAGCATCGTCGACAACCGGGGCGCCAGTGTAGGCGTCACGCAAGGCTTTGTAGTAGTAGATTACTAGGAAGAGCGCGGTTGTAAACACGCGGCATTCAGCCAGAGGCGGCGCAGAGAGCATGTATCGCCACGAAAATTTCTCCAATCACCAACACAGCAGAAGCTGCCACGGGTCAGAGGGTAAGTGGGCGAAAGTTCATCCATCTCTCCTCCTATTTCCCCTCCAAGCGCATTCATTGATAACGTGAAAGCCAGAGTGAATAAGGAGGATTGTTTTATGATTAGGTGAAGAGAAAAGGAGAGAAATGTTGAAAGACAGCGCGAATTCTGAGCCATGATATTGGTTTTTTTACTGTGGGCCCGGCCCTGCTGTTTTGCCGGAGCCGTGCCACGACGTGGACGGGAATGAGCCATGCCCGTCGGGTCGGTACCTGTCTCACTACCTTACTCCATCAAGTCAGGACACATTGAAAAGCAACCGCCTTTCCCTGCATCTGGGCGGCTATCTTTCCTGTGCAGGACGATAGTAGCAGGGATGACAATAAATACAACAAGGAAGATGACAATAACAATTATGGGTGACAATATCGAGCTCTAGCACAGGGAGAATAAGCGGTCTCACTGACAATGGTGGCTTCTGTTATGGCTTGCAGCTATCTCCGCTAAAGCCACATGATTTTCCACCCACTACCGAGTCATCAATACGCATACTATATCACTTGAATTTGGCCTCTCTCTGTCCCCGTCAAAGCCACCCATGCGGTCCAATCCATGATTAAGGATTACCTAGCTTGATACAAGCTAGCAACCGACCCACCAACATTGGCCTCATTCAGTGTTGTTCTCTGCAACTCTCTGCTTCTCTCTGCTTGGGTCAGGTCCGTTGCAACTCTTGCCTCATTTTGAGATACCTCATGCAAGCACGCAAGGTAGCGGTCGCGTGTGGCTCGTACGCTAGATTCTCTTGCTATATCCACAAGCGCAGGTAATGCCTTATTGGAGCCGTTCCCCCCTCCAAGCGCGGGGCAAATATCCTGGCGGTGAAAATCGTGGCCAGGACACTGAGGGTCCCTTGACAAGCCCCAAAACACTATGGGCAGCCAATAAAGACGAAGGTGTTTATGTTTGCGTGCCCCGCTAATTATGTGCAGCTAGCGCAGCTCAGGGAATCATTTTGCAGCCCAGCATCGTATCCGTCCGCTGGCTATCAATGGTCTGTAAGAAGATACTACTGCAACCTGATGATGATTCCCTCTCCGGCCATGTGCCGTGCCTTAGCCTGTGACTCCCTCTACAAGACAATTAGCTAGTGTACGCAGGAAGAGCCTATAACTTCAATCCGTTCTCCGACTCCGAATCCCAAGTCTTCACTCGCCCATTGAAGTTGCCCATCTCGGTGAAGAACCTTGCTGCACCCATCTCCATTGACTTACTTGCACACCCTAAAGTCTGCCACCGCTCTGCACATAAATTACCCCGCCAAATCTTGCGCCAGCCGTCTCTGACAAACATCGCACGTCAACCCCGCCAAAACCATCTGCAACTTCCCCAACACCACAACAGCCACCCAAAATCAGTCAAGATGGCCGGCGGACAACCAGGTTCCAGCTCTCGTGGCCGTGGCGGCAAGTTCAGGAAGTTCACTCGAGGAGGTTTGTGACAAAACGTCGTTCCCGCCGCGGCCTCATCCACACGCTAACCGTCTTGTCATTCAGGTGGCAAGCACTTCTCCCGCGACCTGCGCCCCCTCGACGCTGATGGCAACGAAATCAGCATGTGGAGCGCCGATACCAAGAAGGACGACAGCGGAAGTGACGAGGATGACTCTGAGGAGGAATCCGAGGAGGAGTCCGACTCTGATGATGCCAAGCCCCAGGCCGAACAGTCTCGCGCCGACCGCAAGGCCGCAGCCAAGGCCCGCAAGGAGGCTGCCATAGCCAAGAAGAAGGGCCAAGCCGTCGAGGTCGGCGACTTGCCCCCTTCCGACTCCGAGGAGGAGAGCGACGACGACATGCCCGCCAACCCGAATCACTCCAAGGCCGCCCGCAACCAGACCAAGGCGCCCCCCAAGGAGGTCGAGGAGGCTACCGAGGGCGTCAAGAAACTCGCTGTGGCAAACAACCGCAAGGAGCGCGAGAGCATGGAGGCTGCCCTGGCCAAGGAGAGATACCGCAAGCTCCATGAGGCCGGCAAGACGGATGAGGCCAAGGCTGACATGGCGAGACTGAGGCTCATTCGCGAGCAGAGAGCGGCAGACGCTGCCCGTAGAGAGGTATGTTTGGCCCTTGAACCGGCCATCTCGTATTGCAGTTGTCTAACTACAGGTTGTTACAGGCCGAGAAGGAGGAGCGCGAGGCTCAGGAGGCTGCTAAGAGGGCCGAGATTGAGAAGAAGGAGGCCAAGAAGAGAGAGGCTGCTCTGGGCCCGGCCGCTAAGAAGGGCAAGAAGTCCAGCAAATGAACTCTGCCAAAAGTTCAGGGCACTGTCATTCGTATACCATCGTCCTTCTCGTTCGCAACATACCATGCGTCGAATGTTCGTGTTTGAGCCACAATTTTACAAGATACAGGCTCCACGTATGCTTTTTGAACTTTCCGTGCCAGCTGAATACCACATGTGCTCTCATTACCGGTTTATGATTTGCCGCCATGCGCCAAATGTAGGTACAAATACACGGTTGGCCATGTTTTCAAATGCCAGCCAATCCTTCGGTTCCAACGCTTTCGTGCCACAACTTGTCGAAATCAACGCCCTGCTCCTGGAACAGGTCTCGAATCTTTTTAGCCACCTCGGTCTGCTTCTCAGGCCCGAACCCACCAGGCTGCGATGACTCAAACTGCACAATCTCGATCCAACGGAAGAAGAGATCTTCCTTGCCAATGGCCGAGAGAGCATCCCTGAACGCAAATACCTGCCGTCGCCTGTCATCTTCCTTGACATTTTCGCCCGCCTGCTCAAGAACCATCCAGTCGTAGTCTTCGTGCCACACCAGCACCAGACTCTTGAAGGCGTCCAACGCGACCTGCTTCTTGTCGACGAGGTTGTGAACGAGGACCATGCTGTTCCAGTCGAGATCCCACTGTCCCGTCATGGTAAGATAGCCCGTCTTTTCCTGCAGGAGGAGGGGCGAGGTGGCCTGCCGCACGATTGATTGAAGTGCCTGGTTCTTCTCCTTTTCCTTGAAAATGTCGCCCAGTTGTTGGTCCCACTCCCGGCTGCGTCGGACGTAAATCTCCTTGTCGCGGAAGCCAACGTTCCATCGCCATTGAACTGGGTTTCCATACGTCTGACCAAAGACGAACTCGATTGGCCACGGCCAGACGAAGATGAAGAGCATGAGGTCCAGAGTGAAAGAGAAGCCGCGCTTGCCGATTTCCCAAGCAAGCGCGGCCCAAGTTGAGTCGGAAGGCGAGAAGGTCGTCTCATTGGGGTAGCCGGCGGCAGACTGGATGAACTTGAAGTAATAGGGAAGGATGTAGTACATGCGCAAGACGAACAGCGCAGCGACAACGATGTTCATGCCGACGGGCACAAGAAATATCTTCTTCTTGAAATCCTTGGGTTTGGTGTCGATGTGGGTGATGTAGACGTGTTTGCGGGAAAGCGACTCATAAAAAGGCTTTAGAACCTCTGCCGGTTTCTTGAAAGGCGCGGGCGGCGCACCCAGTGAGCCCGGAGGCTTTGACTTGGTCTTCACGACCTTAATCTTTGGCGCCATTATGACAGTCGCGACACCGATATGGCAAGTCGAGCTCGTGAGTTCTACGTATTGGGGGTGCTTGAGAGCTGTCCATTTTCTCAGGGGCCTAGGGATGAGCGTAGGCACGTCCCTGCACACCCGGCCATTGCTTGTACATGGTGGATCCTGGCGACCAATCAAAACACTTCAATTCTGCAACTTTGTAGCTCGACAAATATTCCGGGTTGGCAGCTCACAGCTTTCGCTGATTCCATCAGACTAGCAGCCTTCATGTTGCGCCCCAGAGTAGATCATGCTCAGGTGTAGGATATGGAAAGTACGTCGAAACCCATTGTCAGCCTGCTAAATTGCCGTTCTTTCGAGGCTAACACAAATCGTGTAGGATCGGAGCAGTGCGTACGTCTGCGCCTTCTGTCGTCACCCCGCCCTGGCGACACAGCGTGACATAGGTCGCCGTAGCTATTCAGACACACCGAAGCCAACGCCGAATGCTGGTGGATTTCCTGGAGGCTGGGGAAGCAGTAGTGGCATTCCGCGACCTTCCGGTCCGACAGTCAGTTCCGGTTGGGGGAAACCATCATTCGGAGGCGGTTCGCCGCCGGCCAACACGAATGGCTCGGCCACTTCGAACCCTGATGCCCAACAGACGAATAACGAGTCGGCCGACGACGGGCTACTGCCCCACGAACGCGCTGCGAAACTGAGAATAAAGAAGTCGCAACCGACGCCACCACTGACCCCGCCACCTCAACCTCTGAAGACTGCAGCGAGCTTCGGGGAAAGCTCGTCACCTCGAGAGGGAACCCGAAGCAGTTTGGGTACGGGTCTGAACAAGGCTCGCGTACCGTCCAAAGGCTTCTCGGAAAGGCCACCCTCCGGCCTTGGTGGTTCAGGCGGACTAGGTGGTCGGGGATTAGGCCTCGGCAGCGAAAGGAAACCTGGACCCCTGCATCGTTCAAGAGACCAACCAGACAGGAAGCGCGGCGATGCAAATGGCTCTCAGTTAGCCGACTGGAGGCACAAAGAACTTGGCAGGAATTCATTTGGAGCCGACAAAAAATCACACAGCACACCGGTACCGCATCACCGCCATGCCGCCAGCAAGGGGCTCGGTAGGCCATTGCCAGAAAGGCCACAACAAAGCCAGGCAAAGGTCGAGGACGAAGCTTCAGACAAGCCTGCGGAATGGGGTTTGCTTGCCAGGAGAGTCAACCCTCCTCCTAGTGTGGAGGAGTCCTCGCCAACTCCTCCGCCACCTACGAGTGGATGGAATGACGAGGCCCCGAAGAAAACTTCGCCTGCCACGAACCCAATCACCAAAGACACATTCTTCGCCAAGTTTCAGGAACACATGGAGAGCAGGCCGAAGCCACCCGCTCGGCGCTCTCTGGAAACCGAGCCGGACGGAGTTGTCGAGGAATATGTTGCAGTAGACGTGGCCGAAAATCGCGAGAATCGCCTCGATGAGTCCTATGAGATCGAACGTGATGCTAGAAAGCGTGGTAAGTCTGGTGCACGTCGTGGAGATGCTTTCAACTCGTCCCGTGGGAAAAAGTCGTATGCACAAAAAAGGTGGGAGGATCAGAACGAGGAATGGGACGAGACGACCGCCAGGGAGATTGCTGAACGCCGCCGGCAAAAGGCCGAGGAAAAGGCCCGGAGAAAGGCGGAGGCGGAGGCTGCCGCCGCATCACAAACCATCTTTTTGCCCGAATTCATCAGCATCGGTAATCTGGGATCGGCGCTCAAGATGAAACCCAAGTACTTCCTGAGAGCTTTGACGGAAATGGGCTTCGAGGACATCACTGAGGAGAGTATCATGACGGGAGAGACTGCTTCTCTTGTGGCTATGGAATTCGGATTCGAGGCGACAGTCGACACTGGAGGAGACAGAGACCTGAGGCCTCGTCCACCACCAGAGGATATGTCGACGCTGCCGCCGCGGCCCCCTGTTGTCACCATTATGGGGCACGTTGACCACGGCAAGACGACGCTGCTCGACTACCTCAGAAAGTCGTCCGTCGCAGCTCAGGAGCATGGCGGCATTACCCAACACATCGGAGCTTTCATGGTGAAGATGTCCTCTGGCAAGCTCATCACATTCCTTGATACGCCCGGTCATGCTGCGTTCTTGACCATGCGCCAACGTGGTGCAAATGTCACTGATATCGTGGTCTTGGTTGTTGCTGCTGACGATAGTGTCAAGCCGCAGACCCTGGAAGCTTTAAAGCATGCCAGGGCAGCAAAGGTGCCAATCATCGTGGCTATCAACAAGATTGACAAGGAAGATGCCCGTCCTGATCAAGTCAAGGCGGACCTTTCTCGTCATGGTGTTGAGATTGAAGACTTTGGTGGCGATGTTCAAGTAGTGTGTGTAAGCGGAAAGACGGGCAAAGGCATGGACGAGCTCGAGGAGAACATTGGCGCGCTCGCGGAAATTCAGGATATGCGTGCCGAACAAGACGGCATGGCGGAGGCCTGGGTTCTCGAAGCCAGTGTCAAACCCCACGGAAAGTCTGCCAACATTCTTGTCAAGCGTGGTACGCTGCGCCCAGGCGACCACATCGTCGCGGGGACTACGTGGGCCAGAATCCGTATGCTGCGAAACGAAGCGGGCCAGGAGCTGAGTGAAGCACCCCCAGGCACACCTGTCGAGGTTCTTGGTTGGAGAGAGCAGCTGCCCGCTGCTGGAGACGAGGTTCTTCAGGCCCCTACCGAAGACCGAGCGAGAACGGCCATCAGCTACCGTGAAGAAATGCGTGAGAGAGAGGCATCATCGAAACAGCTGGCAGAGCAAGAGCAACGCGAACGTGAAGCAAAGGCCGCCGCAGAGGCACAGGCGGCTGGTGAGGTAGGTGAAGAAGATGCAGAAGGCTCGACAACCCAGGTCATCAACTTTGCGGTTAGAGGCGACGTTGTTGGCTCCGTTGAAGCTGTGTGCGCGACCATCAACGAGATTGGAAACAATGAAGTCAAAGCTCGCATTCTTTGGTCTGCGGCCGGCCAAGTATCCGAAACCGATATTGAGCATGCAGCGGCATCAAACAGCACTGTTGTCAATTTCAACAGCACTATTCCGGGCCACATCAAGGCAATGGCTGAGGAGAAGGGGGTCAAGCTGATTGACCATTCAGTTATCTATCACCTAGCGGATGATGTCAAGCAGGTCATGTCAGAACGCTTGGCACCCAAGATCACCCAGAAGGTGACTGGAGAGGCTGATATTCTCCAAGTCTTCCCCATCAACGTAAAGGGACGTGTGTTCAAGAACATTGCTGGATGCAGGGTCAGAAATGGAATGATCACGCGGTCGAACAGCGTACGCATCATCCGCAAGGGAGAGAAGATCTTTGACGGTATGTTGTCCGCAGAAAACCAGGCAAACCATTTACTAATATTCTTTACAGGCAAGGTTGAAACGCTCAAGCATGGAAAGAAGGACATGTCCGAGATCAGGAAGGGTTCCGAATGTGGCATCTCCTTCGATGGTTTCACTGATTTCCAGATAGGAGATCAAATACAGTGCTACGACGAAGTGAAAGAGAAGCGAAGCTTGTAAGATATTGGAAAACTCAACACTTGTACAAGACAAAAGGAACTGCATAGAAACGAAACGGTAGAGGGCACACACACTGTCATCCACAAAGCTCAACACTATTTCACTGTAGAAAACTAGTCATTAATGGTCTTGCACCAATCACCACGTAACCAATTCTCAGTGCTTCAAGGTGAATTTTGTTGGTCCTCATTACCACCGCTT